ACTTCTGTCATATCTTAGATCAAATATGGTGATGAATGGGAGTGTTTTCATTATAGAAAACTCTTTATGTTGCCCTGCACATTAGGAAGGTCAATACATGATGGAAGAAGAATAATTCTTTTTCTTAATGTGGAAACTATGGAAGAGAAAGAAAGGGATCATTACTTCAGACAACCTGCTGCTAATACGTGCAGTATTTGTGTTGAGGAAGTACAGAAAGGAACTGCCTTGTAAGTACAGAACAAGGCAGATGTAATGCAGTTCTTTGTGTAATTAGAGAAAGATGGAGCTCATTGTAATGCAGTTCCAACAGGCGAGAGGGACATGCAGCATACTGCAACGTGGCACCTTAGATGAGGCTCAATTTATACACAGCAGCTGGAAATAAGCTATTTGCCTTGTTCCATCATGTGAAGTCAAGTTAACCAGAAAGAGTCTGTGGGCAGAGAATGCTGTAGTGATTGTCTGCAGGCGGCTGCCTTGCCTTTACGAAAGGACCTCAAGGTGTCACAACTGAATCAACAGATCCTGAAGTTAACTAATCCTTAGAACAGTTTTTTGTGACAGGCTTTAATAGGCTATTTATAATACTGGTAGTGTCAGAATCCCTGTGATGTGTTTTTGGGAAGTGAGAGGGTTTTCGGCATTTGTTAGATCAGTTTGTGTAATCTCTTGATGTGATTTCATTGATAATTTAATGCACTTCCACCTTTTTCTAAGTTTTCATTCATTTTTTCATTTTAACTCATTAGCTGTTAATGGTAACTTAATAATTGTTTTCCTAAATAAAAGGAAAACAGAGCCATTAAAAAGGACTACAGGCAATATTGTGACAGTATTTTGTATATCTGTACACTTCCGTAAAGAAGATTGTACCTATTATTTTACCAATCTTATTGCTATTTACAATGTTATGATGCCATAACTTCTGTCCTAGTTCCCGAGCGACAGCATTGTGTATCTCATCAAGCTTGTGTATGTATGTAGAGCAAAACCAAAAGTAAGTAGATAGAGATGCTTCTTGTGATCTCTTTTTCTAAAGATTCTAGCCCTATCTTTTGTGCACTGCATTGGCCAAACACCTTCCATCCTGGTCTGATGGGTGTTTAAATGCCACAATGTAAATTGTAAATGTAAATTGTAAATGTAAATGTTTAAATGCCTCATGTAAAGAAAGCCTTGTAAAGGCCCTGGTGGTCACCTTTTTCAGCAAAAGCTCTATTTTGTGCCTCTCAAACTTTGTTTTTTCTTTCTTTTTGGACTCATGAGGCTGCTCTGTGATTGATGTCCGTTCTCCCTTGAGTGGGATATTGTTCATCACATGCCAGAGTGGGGAGAGGCAGCTGGGAGGAAAGAAAACGCTTGTGAGCAGGCTGAGTAGAATCTTTCTAGGCGCAGAAAGTTTTGGCCTCGTGTTGGTCCATCAGTCTTCTCCCTTTTTTCCATGTGAGAAGTGTGTTTTGTACAGCATATTTGTCTCTGTATGCAAACATTTTATACAGAGCTTTTATAAACTCTGTGACTCATAGTGAGCAAATCTGTGAAGAGGTGATAGTTCTGTCGTGGTGCACAAGCACAGATGTAGGCAAGTGCCAGCTGTACAAGGCATCTGTTACTTTCCTTCTATCCCTGCACTGCAACAGTCGAATAGAAGATACAAGAACCTGAGTGTATATTTATCAGTGCCCACATTTTGAAGCCACTGGTGAATTTGTATCCATTACCTTTAAAGACGTTGTTGATATCTCTGTATTAAGCAGCTGTTTTAACAACTAGGGTACATAATGAAAAATAGTCAATAATCTGAGGGAGTAATTTGGAAGAATTTTATTTGCGACAGACTTAATGTTGTTACAGACCACAAACCTCAGTGTTTTCACATTCCTGTCTTAATCTTTCGCCTTTACATAATCATCCCTGGTACACTGAAATATGATCGGAGTCATTCACATCAGCAGTACGTACGTGAACCTTTAGTCCTTCAGATCATCAGAAAAAAAGCTTCTTAGCTAGAAGTCTCTGTGGTTCATTTTCTTCCAAATGATGGTAGTTAGCACAGGCTAAGATAGGCCTCCAACTGCTGTATTTCAGACACATTTACTTACAGTGTAATAACCCTTTGTCTTTTCAGTTGCTTTAATACGCTAAAATGGGTCAATGTAGAATCCATTGTGTATCAGAGACTGGTTAAGGAAAGTACACATCACCGAAATGGAGGAGGGGAAGATAGTGCTTATTACTGCTTGTGAGTAGTGTAGGCTAATTAAGGTACTATTATTATTATTTAAGTGCTATGGCAGAGAAATTTATCCTTAGATCTCTGTCTGTAATCCCCATTCTGTTCTAGAACAATTGATCTTGTTGCTAGCCGAGCAGATGGAAAAGAGGGTAAAGCCCATTCAAAAGGCTCATACTTTTAGAAGGGTTGAGAAATAATGTCTTTGGAAATGAAATGAAATTTTGCAGTGTTGGAGAATCCTTGCTGTATGGGCCTCTGTTGAACAATGAAATGAAACCCCTTTATTCTTATTCCCTCTGCCCCCCAGCAAGTTGAAACCATGTTATTGAGTTGTTACTGAAGCCTGATCAAAAAAGAACGTGCCGTTATGGATGTCAGTATTGTATTGTTACTCATTTAGGTACACAGCTTGTGGCGTAGAATTTATAGATTCTAGTTTAATGAATGTTGTGTCTAATGAACTGAGGGTATTCAGCAGCAAATGAGGTTTGTAACAGCCATTAGTTTGAACAGGGCGAGAAACTAAAACAACCAGAAGGAAATGTTAAAGAGAGAAATCTTTTCCTAGTCATTGAACCTTTATTTTTCTGCCTTTCCACCTTTGCAAAGATTGCCAAAGTCTGAGGAAGCGCTTGTAGGTAGGACGGTCTTGGGTGACATGATATAGTGTGTGGTGTCCCTGCCCATGGCAGGGGGGTTGGAACCAGGAAGATCTTAAGGTCTTTTCCAGCACTAACCTTCTATGATTCTATGGTTCTGTGATTTTGTGTCATAGTTGGTGGATAAAGCACTTACTTAGCCAAAAAATGGGACTTTCCCAGGAAAGCATCATCTGCTCTCTGAAGACTTGTGATAATGCCAAGTGTGCCACCAGCACAGACATTATGCAACAAGGAAGGACTACAAGTGTACTACAAATAGACATTTGCTGGCTATTGCCATTTGTTTCTGCTGATGAGGTCTTAGAAACATCCTCAAATGTATTTGACCTTGGTTTTGTATTTATTGCAGCAAAGCCCAAACACACATATTATTTTCTGCTTATGGATTGCAGCATACCAGGGAATCAAAGATAATGGAAAGAAATTTGGAAAGAGGACTTTTGAATTGGCGCTTCGTAGCCTTTCAGAGTACTTCTGACCTAGTCCCATACTACTACTTGATTAATAGTGCTTGAACTCAAGTTACAGGGTGTAGCCAGTGTAGTTACAGAAAAAGCATTACCATGATCAGCCAAAAGAAAGGTATGACGAAAATTATTTGAGTGGTAGGATTATTACCCCTAATTTTGTTGGTGCAATACATACTCACGAGTTGTGGTTATGTAGTTAGCTGTATGTCAAGTCAGAAATGGAACTGTTCAACACAGGCTTCTATGGAAATAGTAATCAGTATCAATTATGCTAATATAATTGTAGCTATATCAATTTCTGTGATTTCTGTTTTGAAATAAGAATCTGTGTACCCCTTTTATCAAAATAATAATTTCCTGTAGGCAATAAATGTACTTAAATCAAGAAGGGTTTCTATGTAGACCTTGCTGGGGTTTTCTGTGTTTCTAGCAGCAATGAGTTTCTAATGTAAAGTGACTCGACTTGAGTCTCACTGTTGTAAAAGTGTTTTTGAAGGGCCTTTGAAGTGCTTAAGAGTAATAAAGAGCACCCTCTAGTTAGTAGCCTAGGTATGTGCCTAGAAAAATGTATATTTTGGGAAGAATTTCAGTAGGCAGAATGTCAAAACTTACTTTTTCTTTTATTTCTTTGACTATTATCTTTCTGTGCATATATTGTGTGTTGTTTCTCTGCTGCATACTTACTCTATGTATCATTATCTTGAGGCATTTGAGATAAACACTTGCCATTTGTACTCCAGTTCTCCCAACACTTCTCAAGCAGCTTGAGCAGATCCAAAAGACAAGGAAGTGTTGTGTCAGGAATTGTGTTAAACTCTGTAAAATAAACCAGATATGGGCAAGGGGAAACACCCTCTTTTACCAATACTTAGTATATGTTTGTACAGCTGGCAATTTGTGCTCCTTCATATTCTTTGACCTAGAAGTAGCCAACATTTTAATGCATTCTTGGAGGGGGAAAAAGGTGTTATGGAAAAGAACTGCCACATCAAAGCTTCTCCTCAGCTTGTAAAATGGTTTCCACCACTACCTTCCTCAACCCTATCGGAACACTCAGCACTTTCTCCCTCTCAAAGGAAAGCAAGCCTTTTTATGAAGAAATGGCCTTAGACTTTTATTTATATTAAAATGATAAAGTGACACAAAGTAGTTGAAAAGATCTATTAATTCAAACAAAAGTCCATCAGAGATGTAATGTAAATTCTGTGTAATGTGTCTCTATCAAATTGAGCCATACGATTCAGCTGTTGCATAGAGTTAAGTAAGTACTCCCTTAAGAGAGCGTTCCTCTGCAGAATGCTTTTTAAATAACTAGAATGTAGGCTAAAACTTCATGCCTGTCAACTGGCTTGTATTGTGCTCAATCCTTCTGATGTTCCAAACTCTTACTTGTGACAAAGGAAACTAAGTGCTTGGTGATTACTTGCACATATAGGTTCTTGACCATTGTTGGTATCAGTTCAGTTTTAATCATACCTTAATGTGGGAGCCTTGTATTGGCCCTTTGTTCTGCTGAGATTGTTGGGTTTTTCATGTAGTGTACTAAATAATATAGGGAGGCTGAAATAACTTCTAAAGAATTTTACAAAACATCCCTGTTTCCATGAAAATCTTGTTTATTCATTTCAGCACAAGCCCACCTTACTGCTGTGTGGACCTTTATTCTTTGCGGACAGGAGAGATGGTCAAGTCCATACAGTTCAAAACTCCTATTTATGATCTGCATTGCAATAAAAGGTAAGGACCTTTACTCTACATTTTTGTAGGGAATGTAAAATTTCAGCATGAATACAAGTTCTGGTGTGTGTGTGTGTGCTCCATGACTTACTACTCTGACTGTCCTGTAAGCATAGCTTTTGTTCTCCATTTCTCAGGTAATATTTCAGTTTGAATATGACAATATGCTGCTCCAGTGGCTTTCATTTAAGAAGCTCAGAACATTTTGCATCTGTAATCAGAATGATATGTTGTATGTGCCTGGTTTGTTCTGCATGGCAGCAGGTAGCGTGCTTGCATATGTGAAGACCAAAAAAGAATATGAGCATGTATTGAACACACACAACTAAGGGAAGTTAGCAGTGCTGGAGACTGGATGGGAAAAACAAACAAAAAACCCCAAAAGCCAAACATAAAAACCCCCAAAACAAAAAAACAACCCTGGAAGGCACAAGAGTTTTGTTAAACAGACATTTGTCTACCATTGTGTTCAAGGCCAGGTTGGACACAGGGGCTTTGAGCAGCCTGCTCTAGTGGAAGGTGTCCCTGCCCGTGATGGGAAATTGGAACTGGATGAGCTTTAAGGTCCCTTCCAACCCAAACCATTCTGTGATTGTATCATCAAAATCTAAACATTAATGGCTGCAGTAGGTCAAGTAGGAGTTACAGAAGAAAAATAGTACTGCTGAACAAACACCTTTAATACCACAACTTACCTAATAATGAGGAGGATATTTTCATGGTGTGAATGTTTAAAGAAGTAAAGGCTGGTAGTTTTTGTTATCCCTGTCAATCTGCTTATTGCAGGATGTGGGTATGATTGCTGTATCAAAAAGCAGTTTCACGGAAGTGGTTGAGTTAGTGAGAGTTGTGTGCCATGAATAGGTTCCTTTAAAAGCTGTCAGAAAGTTCAGTACTTATCTGTGCAACTGTCCCTTGAAAACTTTAAAGTTCCCTTGTGTACAGCATGATGATAGTAAATCTTTCCAGTCTGCCCTCCTTGCAGAAGAAAAATCCAATTGTAAAAACACTCAAGGCAAATCACCATTCAAAGTTTCTCCCAACTAAAAAGTCTTTCCAGGTGCTAATGTTTCCTTTCCTAAGTGGTAAAAATGGAAATACTTCAAAGCTCCATAGCTGTATCCAGGGAAGCAGCTTTTCTGGAATGTATCAGATCCTGTTGTTATGCAAGGAAAGCTCACTACTTCAGATTGAAAATGCATTAAATATGGCCAAGTGGCAGTTCTTATGGTGCATTAATCATGCTATAGACTAAAGGAGTCCAAAATTTGGATTTAAAATAAAACTTGAGTTGCAGAAGAAGGGAAAACTGTCACTCATTTATGTATATATACTCTAGAATCATGCAACTGGTAGGTTTCATTTATGCGGAAAGACAGTGCATCTTCAAAGAGTAGAGAACAAACATTTACAGGATTGGGAATTATTACTATCAAATATGCCTGGGTTTTCTATATCTACGTTCCACATGCACAGGAATTCACAGTCTTCCCATTATTCATTGGTTAACTTTCTTTTAGGCCTTGTGGAAGAAGTTAGAATTGATATATTTTCTTATGGTCTTTTTCTCTCCTGCAGTTAAGCAATTGGAAGATCTATTGTTTAACTAAAACTACTGTATTGTCCAAAATTAATATTCATTTATTCATGCAGAGTTTCTTACTTAGTAATAGAGATTTATAAATCACGAGGGGGTAGAGAAGCATCTTTTCCACAATGAGAGAGCTACAAGCAAATAAGAAATCCTACATTAATTTCTTGTATGAGTTTTAACTTACCAGAATCCCTTTTGTTGACTTGCATATTCTGCCCTCTTCTTCTGGCAAGTAAGCTGCTCACTCTGAAAGTGTACATGTGCTTCCTGTTCTAAGTCTGCAGACTGGTGAACATGAAAGACTTTTGTCCAGAAACATCCCTTGATTTCTGCCTTCCTTCCAAGAATTTGTATTTCTGCCTTGTTTCTAGATAGAGATACACTGATAAACAGAGCAGTGACAGAGAGTCCTGAAAGAATTTGAGATACAGAACAGTGCTTATTGCTTTAATCACTTTCTGTATCAGACAAAAAGAAAGTGGCTGGTGTTAGACCAGCCTGTTGAACAGGCTTCAGGGCTCATCTAGGGAACTACAGATGCAATCTATGTTATTAGGCAAATGTATTGGTGAAACTAATAGCAAAATCAAGTAGCAAAAATAATAGCAAAATCGTCTCATAGGCATGTAGATCAATCGTGCCTATCAGAGGAGCATTAGTAGAGTTTTCTAGGTGGAAATTGTGACTTAAAACTTATTTATATATCTGAAAACATCAGCAAGCATGTAGATAAGGTACATGATTTGATTTTAGTGTAGTCCTTCACCAAAGAGTCTTAAAGGTACTGAGCTCTCATGGGATAAGAAGGAGGTACTCATGTGGCAGAACAGATGAAAAGAGGAAAAAAAAAAGAAAGAAAGAAAAGAAACCAGAAAATAGCTGGTTCTTAATAGCTGGTTTTCACACTGATGGGAGATAAGCATCGCCTTTCATCCAGAGGTGTGTGCTGACACTGATGTGATTCATCTTTTTAAAGATTATTATTCTAATACTGTAATGTGCAATCATAATTTTCAGATAAAGCATTAGGTGTGTATTTTAGTCGTTGAGAGATATGATTTTTTTGCCACATCATATCTTTATAATTAAAACTATTAGAACAGCATTTAATAATGCTCCATCTTGTCAGCTAATTAAAAAATACTGTCCCATGTTCTTACCAATGAGAGAATAATCAGATTCTTAATTATGTCAGATTGCTAAATGTTCCAGATAGCTCCTAGATTTTCTCTATTTCTCAACTTTCCAGGTGGTTCTTTCATTTCATAGGTTTTAAGAACTTGGTTTTGAGAAGTCGTCAATGTAGGAGAAGATGTTCTCTAGTCATAAAGCCTTCAAGATGCTTCACTTTCAAATTTGCATCTTTGGCTTCTATTTGTGCAGACAGTACAACGTTTCATGCTTAGTTATCATGTGGCTGGTATTCTTCATTTTAAGTGAATGGGTATTTTGCAATGAAAGTGTGTGCAAGTACAAGTGAATATATATACATACCCCTGTAATTTTGCTAATTGACACAAATTCTGCTTCTCCTCTGTATTTGTGTGCTGAAATATATTCTTGGTATGAAAAAAAATCCCTGCTTTTAGTAAATAAGATGGTTTAATAGATTTGCAGTGAGATGGGCAATGGGATAATTTCAAACTTAGCTTGTGTTCTACTGATTGTTGATTTGATTGTTAGTTGAGTCATTGAAAGTAATTCAGGATCCTTGCAATCCCATTCTTTGTGTTTAATGGAGCTTTTACTGCAGGAGGTGTATCATAAATATGCTGTGTTGTTCTGTATCAGATCTGTGTACTTCCTGAAATGAAGGTTATGTGGTTGGGATGAGAGAGAACTCTCAATAACTGCCATGTATTGGTAACCTGGCAGTCTATCACTGGAGAGTTTATATTGATGCTTTGGAAATAATTACATTTAGATATTGAATCTTTAAACCAATGCATTTAATGTTTAAAGTACACATTCCATTTCTGTGTTTTCAGGATACTTGTCGTAGTCCTGCAAGAGAAAATTGCCGCCTTCGACAGCTGTACTTTCACCAAAAAATTCTTCGTTACAAGTATGTATATAATTGGTCCTTTTGTGGTGGAGTGAGAGAAAACAGATGGGGTTGAAATTTTAGTTATCATTTTGTAAAATTTCTAAATCCTCAGAGCAGGTCCCCATGACTTCGTTTGGAGCTTCAGGAAATCTGTTGCTTCCAGAAACCTCCCAAATGTTACTTCCTGATTTTTTTCCTCTTTTGCATATGTATTATTACTGTAACTAACTTCTCACTGGAGTGAAGAGCACCTACACAGACATCCGTAGGTAGCTGAAAAATTCCTCTGCTCATTTTGCACAAATATGTGCAAAATGTTCAGGTTTTGACGTCCAGGTTGTACGCATAAGCAGCAGTTAGTTAGAAAACACATCGACGGCGATCCGCCTGCTTTTCATTTTGTGTTGTTCCTTAGACTCAGGTACATTATTTTTTTAAAGTATCCTTACTTTAGCAGGCCCCAGAGCTCAAGCAGACCAGTAAATTATTGTAGTAGAAAAACTATACACAGCTATTTGCCTGCAAATGCTTTTTCACATGTCTTGAGCATGAAGGAACTGTTTGCTCAGACTCCCCTTTATCTCTCTGTACCCATTGACTTGCCTCTCAATAGGAGGCGATTGATTGTAGTGGGTAAGGTTCTCACCAAAAGCTGTTCCTGTACCCTATATGTCCCTTTGCTGCTTCAACAGCTGTAACACAATAATCAATATGTTAGTTGAGAAAAATGATACGTTTTCTATTGCTTGTGCTCTGCTCTCTCTTGGGATTTAGTTAGGATTAGGATGTCATTTACCTGCTCCCAAGACTGTGTGTGTTGTAATGCGGAAAACCAAAGAAGTGTTCACCCCAGAAAAAAAAAGTAATGTATTTTTCAAGCAGTTAGTGACTGGTGTCACTGTTTATGGATTAGAATAGCCTCTTAAAATCTGTAGATTATGGAGGGATCATAATTTACTTTGGAAAGATCAGAGTTTTATTGTTTAAAAGGAGAGTTTTAAACTTTCTGGATGTATTTTCAGTTGCAACTGGAAAACTTCTAAATTCTCTTTTTATATTATCTGTGTATTTAATGAAACATATAGCTAGAAGAAGCTGTTTCTTATAATAGCTTGAAGAAAAGCAGCTTTATGCAGTAATATTAAAGTTGCCAATAGGTGTCAGTTTCTTCCTATACATGGCTGTAAGGTACTAGGAATCTGCCAGAGTTCAGTGAAGGAAGCCGAATGGGAAAAGTCTTGTTTGCGTCCTTCTCACTCCTTTTTATTCCACCAGAGAGAATTAGGGTACAAGCCTTGCTTTATTTTAGATAAAAAAATCAAAAGAAAAGACTCACTGAAGTGTGTATTTTGCCAATTCTTGTGCTTTTCTGATTTCAGTTACTGGTTGGTGGTGGTGTGTTGGGTTTTTCTAAAGACATTGCAGTTTGTTTTTAAGAACTAAGCCACTGAGCTGGATTTTGAGGAGCAGGAGTATCCTCTTCCTCACCATAATGCTTGATTTGCAGTGTTTTTTTTTGTGAAACAGTGGTGGAATTGAAAGAGGATAAAATAAAGCTTTTGGAGATATTTACCAAATGATTTGAATATCCAGACTCGTGAATTGTCACTGTTCACAGTGCATTTCTCCAGCTGTGCCATGTTTTTAATATGAGAAACTTTAATATGAGAAACTCAACTTTAATATGAGTTCTCAAGCTTTGTTCTAGTTCTGAGGTTCCAAAGCTGGGTTAAAGACACCCGTCGTTTTGTACTGGGGTATTCTGGAAAGCTCTGGGACCCGACAAGCAGCCAGAGCTGCTGCCACCACAGCCCTTTCCCTGTCACCCCCCCAGCTTGCCTGTGGGGTGGGACTGGGCATGAAGATGTGGGTTTTTTCCCTAGATGAATGGGTTTCTTGGGCCTGTGCTGGTGAAGAGCTGTCCTGAGGATTTTGAAGCTTAGTCGTTTCACTTAATAGCTTATGCTATCAAGAGGGTGTTATGCTCTGGCATGTTGAAGGCTGCAGTAAAGCTTTTGTCTAAGCTTTCAGGTTTCATATGTGCTGAAATCTCTTTGACCTAAGAGTATATCTTTAAAAGCTTAAGTTACTCTGATGTGTTTGAAATTTGATGTAAATGAGCTACCTAGTTAACTGCATAGATTTTTTGATAGTCAGCAAACTGGCTAGCAGCTTTTGCTGCCTTGTTTTAAAGTATGATTTAGGAAAGGGCATTATCAGTTTAAATTGCAGAAATTGCAGAATCAGTTTAAAAGGCAGAAATCCCTGAAAAGGAAGCTTGGCAAGAGGCCTGATAGAGTTCCCTGTTGGAGCATCCCTGCTCTGCAGGACAGTCAGCCAGCATCCTGTCTGGACCCATCCTGGTGCCCCTCAGCTGGACAGTGGCATTAAGAATGTCACTGCCTGCCCAGAGAGTTTTTCACCCTGAAGAAGCTTCTCAGGTGGGTTATCTGACTGCTTTTGGTCAGAAGTGATGGCATAAGAGGATCACTAGCTCCTGGAAGACATTTCTGTTACTGTGTAAACCACTTTGTAGAAAAGGAGAATCTCTTTTTTCAGGCAGATTTGGTGATGATGTGGAAATCACATCTTCCATCCATACAACCAAATGGCGTGGAGCTTCAGAACCTCACTGAGACACCTAAAAAGGAAACAGAATTAATAGAAGCTCTCACCCATTTTCTTGACTATTTATACATAGAAACTGAGTGCAGGATTTGGAATTCAGAACAGTATCAAGAACTGTGAAGTTCGGTGCTCCTCAGAAATGCTAATGCAGCTGTGTTGCACATGAGTAGTATTTGTCTTTCTGTTTTTGTTTTTGTGGTTCAATATGTAGCTTAATATATTGTTGTAATAAATATACCATAAAATAATCAGGATGTAGAACATGGTCAAGTTTGTGCTGCTGTTGGAATGTTTAACTCCTGCATTTCCCGAGTTTTATCGAGCAAATTTGACACAGTACTAATGTTGTTTTTTCCTACATGTGATTAGATGGAAATGTGCTGATTTGATTTGAATGGCAGAAAGCCAGCACATTTTATTTGTGCCTTTTGTAACAAAACCTCAGTGTACAGGTGCTCCGGTCTTGGTGTGTGAATTTAAGTCAGGTGCTTAAACTTGCAGGAAAAACATACTACAGATATTACAGAAAAAATACCAGGATGTCCTATAATCTCCTCTCTGTGGTATTCTTAAACACCTGCTATGAAAGGTGTTTAAAAGGCACAGCATCAGCCTGCAAAGGCAGTAGCTTTCACTCTGTTTTCTACTGGGCCTGTGCTTGGAGCCAACACCATTTCGTTAAGAAAGGGCTTGCATCAAGGGGAGGATAAAGCCAAACAGTGATTTCACATCCTGCACTGCTTCAAGTGCTCACGTGGCCAAAGTAAAAAAAATGCACTTGATGCTTCAAGAGTGTGTTTCCTTTGGTAGCTCTGAATGTCCAGGTGTGGATTTTAAACAGAGTTTTAAATAGTTGAGGGTTTTATTGTGGTTCTCTTAAGATTTCCTTCAGAGCCTTTTTTGAGTACTTCGTATGACTGAACAATCAGAAATGAAAGTGATGTACAGGCTTTTTTCCCCCCTACTTTGCTCTACACAATAGATGCAGAAAAGCTGAATTTCATTGATTTCTATTACATCAGTGCTCCCTCAACCCTTCTCCAAAAATGCTTACTTAGTGGAACGTTGATGATTATGAATATGGCGTGATGGATACTTTCTTCTCTGTAAGAATATCCTTCCCACCCCCTGGGCCCTAAGTAAAGATTATCACAGATAACATCATGCATGTGGCATCATCTTTGTGTCCGATAACTAGTGCCTGCTCAGTTTCTCTGGCCCTTCCACTCCTCATATTGATATATTCTCCATCCATTATTCTCTAGGGATGAAGACAGTTATTGCAGCCATTAGCTGGCACCACATTTCTATTGATGCTGTACAGCTAGAGCCTTAAGAGGTAATTTTCCAGATTTTAGTCAGAGTATTTTATTGTATATAAAGTCTCAAAAGACTTGCCTAACCATAAGCCAAAAATTATTCATTATATGTTATATGCACCCCACCTGCACCTCTTAAAATAAACAAAAAACCCCAAACCAAACAGTGTTTAATATTCTAATCTGCAATTTGGATTTGGTATTCCTGTTTTCGCTGACATTTACACATGAGAAATAATACAGTGGTTGCAGTTTGTCACAGGTCTGATCTGGAAATCATCTAGGCTGGTCTGCACGTTCTTCTTGGCTCTGTTAGACCCTTTTCCCTGATGGGCACACAGGGAGCAGTTTGATCTCTTTACTTTGAAGTGAAAACACTGGATGTCTTATAAAAAGGTTTTTAATGCCACAAGAGTTATATTCTTCAAGGAGTTCTGTTTGTGTGTATCCCTTCTCAGCTGTGAGCTGTGGCATTTATCCTGGCTATCCCACATGGTACAATAATTGGTAGGATTCCAGTGTCTGTGGAGGGAGACGCTTCAGTTTAGATCTAAACTCCTTAAGGCAGGTGGCAAGTGGGCTCCTGATTCACAGTATTTTCTTGATCAGTGAAGAGAAGCCAAATACGTTGCTGTGAATTGTATATAAGCAGTTTTTATATGCTTGCACATACATATATATTTTAACATATACCCCTTTGTGTAATGTGTAACTGCCTTCTCAGAGAAATGTTGATTGGATCGTGCTTTTACTTTTTACCAGCATTATTTGTAGGAGTGTTTGTCCCTGAATGTGGGAATCAGTGCATCACTGTTACAGGGTAATGCTGAAATACTTCTTGAAAAGGTCTTTAGGGCAATGGGGTAGGTTTATGGAAACAACTGTCTTTGTTGCTTACAGGGCTGCTTTGCTATATTGCAGGAAAGTGTAAATACAACAGAAAAATAGTGTAAGGATAGAAAACAGACATTGGTACCCAAGATGTATCATATCTATCATATCTACTGCATTTGACAGCTACAAAATTATTTGTAGAACAGGAAGAAGTTTGTTTCTGTGTAAGTTATTTTT